ATCTGTCTGACAGTCAGTCAACTAATTTTCAGCTGACGTGGACACTATGCTGTCCCCTGCAATTACACAGTAAGCCGTAGCTGCCAAGCTACCCCAAAGGACATTTCAGAGAATGCGTTCATGTGGATAGAGAAAAGTCTTCAGAACACCTATGCAAACCTTCTCAGAACGCTTTCCTGAACAGCATAAAACCAGACAAACAGATGAAATTCCGGCACGGTTACAACCACTACAGATGGCTACGAATATCTGAAATCCTGTACCATGTTCTTCAGAGTCATCGGACTTGGGGGCACGATGCCCCCTGTGGCCATTCCCCATCATCACTCAGGCAAAGACTGAGTGACTAACAGAACATCCACGCAAGAGGCCCACTGGCGGCCAGGCTCTATTGAAAGTCCTGAAGATCAAGATGTCGATAATACGTTGCCACCTTAAGACATCAAGCAGATGGAGAATATGACTATTGGTTTTGAGACAGGGTCTCACCATGTATACATAACTGACACAGAACTGCCTATGTAGGCCAGGCTGGCCTCCAACTCACGGAGACCTGGCAAAGGTGTGCACCACCACACCGGGCCCAGATGGTGAGATCCGAGCACAAGCTGACCCTCAGTAAAAAGGTAAACAAAACAACTTTAAATGTTTTTAATGAAGTCAGTTGTGTAGCAGCCAAAACAACCCTGGCTTTAATATGGGGGGTGGGGCGGTGATGGTTAAGCTCCATTGTTGGCTTATCTGCATTTAAAGCCTCCAAAGAAACACGTCACTGGTTATCTATGAAAATATCCACGGACTTCCCAGTTTAAGTGAGGAAGAAGGCCCCTCCCTGTTTGTGGGCAGTATCGACCCATGGGGCTGGGATCCCAGACTGAATATACAGGACTTAGCTGGAGGACACTAACATTCCACTCTCTGCTTTCTGGCTGTGGACCCAATAAGATCAGCTGCCACACACTCCCGAGGACATGCCTTCCCTACCCTTGCTTAAACCATGAACCAAAGTAACGACAACGGGAACAGTGGCGGTACGGGGAGACTAAAGTATCAGTCAGGCTACTTGCCAAAACCAGCTTCAGACCATCCTCTCATGTAATGCGAGGTAACCCAGTTGGGGTGTGTTTTGGGGGAGTGGGTGGATGCTCTCAGTCCCACAGGGCTCCTGAAAAAGATGGTGAGGCTTGTGGAGTCTCAAGCCAGGATACTCTGAGTCTTTTGTTTCTGTCTTTGCTGGAAATTTCAAAAAGGACGCCTCCTGCTTTTAAGTCTATGAGTGATTATAGAAACTTAACAAGAATGTAAGGGAGCCTACACAGTTTACTTTGAGATTTGTGTCACCTCTAAGCAGTGTAGTTTATGGCCCAGAAAGATGGTCCAGTGGGTAAAGATGCTGGCAGAGCAAGCCTGACAACCCAAGTTCAATCCCTGGAGCCCACAAAAAGGTGGAGAGAACCAACCCCATAAGTTGCCTCACACTATAGCATGTACAGAGAAAACAACACATTTACAGCAATTATAATTACAGGAAGCGATAAGTAAGAAATGTTAAAAGAACTGCATCATTTAATCGGGTTATCTTCTCCAAGCAAACTTTTGGACATGCATCTCCCCCACAGATACCCCAGATTCACTCTACTGACCCTCTCCCCACCCCAACCCTTGCTCCCCTCCAAAGAAATTTAGCATATCTTTTAACAGCAGAAAAGGGATACATCCTCTTTGGGGAAAAGGCAGTACGAGTCTGCAACTACAAGAATTTCCTGGCAAGGATGGAAAGGGGCAGCCTAGAAATATCCCCCACGCCAGTGACTCCTATCCATCTCAGTTATTAAACACTCATGCTGTGTGCAGACTGGACAGCAAAGCCAGAAGACCAGAAACAGGGCCAGAAATGGTATTTGAAGAACCGTGTTCAGGTGTGGTAAAGGACAAGTAAAAATATTGGCACTTATTAAAAAAAAAAAACAACAAACAAACAAAACACCCATTGTGGTGCTGGAGAGACCACTCCATGGTTAAGAGCACTTGCTACCCTTGCTCAGGACCTGAGTTCAGTTCCCTGTACCCATGACGGACGCTCACAACCACCTGTTGCCCCAGCTCTGAGGGAGCCGATGCCCTCTCCTGGCTTCTGTGGCATCCACATACGTGTGGCGTTTACTCATGTAGGCACACAGATACATTTGGATATAGATAACAAAAATATATCTAGAGGCTGGAGAGATGCTCAGAGATGAAGAGGACCTGAATTTGGTTTCCAGACCCTCACATCTGGTGGCCCACACCTGTCTGTAACTCCAGCTCCAGGGGATCCAGTATACTCTTCTGCCCTCCATGGACACCTGCATATATTCACACAGAGACATACATGTGTACACTATGCTACTCAAAGGGACAATAGTTTCTAAGTAATCAGTGCACGGTGGTGCAGAATCATGTTTGAAATATTCATTAAAGCACAGGGGGAAAAAAAAAACCCTGCGTTTTAATACAAAAAACTGCACGGAGTGCCTCATGCGGACTCAGATGTTTGCGGCAGCCAAACCTTAAGAATGCAGCATTTGCTGAATTATAGCAGTATGAAAAAGGAAAAAAGGCATCACTGCTTCTCTATCTTTTTATTCCCTATCTGTCTGGAGCCAAGCTTTCTTCAGATACTCAGTGAAAATGATATACTACAAAAGAAGGAATGGAGAGGTAGCCAGTGGGGATCTACCTCCTTCTACTGAATCAGTTATTACAGCAATCTGAAAAAAAAAATCAAACTAGGCCACTATTACTGCTAAACCATTTTTTGGAAAATATAGTTACAACCCATGAAAATGTTCCTTATATTATCATGTATGGAGTATATTGCTTTTATACTTAAATAAAATTTAAAGTTGGTATCTTTACAATATCTCAGTTTTAATTTCTAATAGAGTGTATGCTGGTAGCATGTACCATATAAACTAATACTCTTTAGGATACTTGATCACTTTCATTTTGTTTTGTTGAGACAGGATCTCTCTAGATAGCCCTGGTTGGGCTCTGTAGACCAGGTGGCCTCCAACTCACAGAGATCCACCTCCAACTCACAGAGATCCACCTGCTTCTGCCTCCCCGGTGCTGGATTTAAGGTGAGCACCAACACACCTGACACACTTGATAACTTTTAAAAAGACAATATTGACCCATCAGGCAAAAACATTTCAGATGCTATCCTAATGCATTTGGTCATGGAAGTCATGTGAAGTGACTCCAGAATGTTCTGTGGAGCACCCAGGGGAAGGGCCATATCACAGTGGACCTGGGAAATTATCCCTCCCTGTCTCCTTAGATATTCTGCAGCAAATTAACTTAGATACTGATGAAAGGGCCTCCTCCCAAACAGGAGCCCTATCTCTACGCCCATGGCAGTGAAGACATGTTTGCTTTGGCAAGCACAACCAGGGCTGACCTCATCGGCTCAAAAGAAGCCTTAACTGGAGATTTCTTCCACCGAGCAAACATTACAGACAGACGAGAGAAATGTGGATGCACGTTTGCACACTCCTACAACAGAGAATCCTGTTAGGAGACATCTTGCTTGCCAAGGTGTCTCAGAAGCTTAATAGATATGTCAGTTAAAATCAAGGGCCACTGTCATTTACTATTCTATTTCTGAGGAGAACCAAATGCCTGACTTCAGTGGCTATGTTGCAAAAAACCCTCTCACATGAAATGAACAGGATGGCAGCAATTTGTACTCTAATGATAATTCATGTGCGTAAAAACTGTGCACAAGCCAAGAAGATCTTAAGAATTATATTTCAAAGATGGCTAGTTTTAGAATATAGAGAAGACTAATTCTCCACTCAGAGCAAGACACAGAATTTTTCTGTAAATCTCTTGCTCCTGTCAGGTGTCCACATGACTGGCCAGAGCTTGAGCTTGTTCACAGATGTCTGGGGAAGACCCTGGGGGAAGAGTCAAAACTATGAGGCACTGCACAATGTTCTGTGCAAAATCCTTCACGAAAGATAGCTGCTTAACCCTCTCCTCTTGTACCTAACAACCAAGCCAGCAGACCATTAGGTCACTGGTGGGGTTAGCTGTGGGGGCCATGACTGCTTCCTGTGTATTGTACTAAACTACATTTCCTCCCATGGGTCCAACTGAGAAGGTGACTACATGGATTATATTTTCATTTTATGGCTCTGATATTCATGAAATGGAAAGGCGCCTTGAAGTAAGTCCCGAAAAGAACTACGAAGAATGCTGGCAGCAATGAGGCAGAACTAGGCTGGGAAATGGCAGAGCTTTGGCTGCGCCTCATACATTCCTCTCAGACACATCATAATACCAGGGTGATCAGACATGAGCAGAAGTTGGCAAAAGGAAAAAGACACAAACGAACCCTGATAGCATCAAAACTTAAGACTCATAACTCTGTTCTCATGAACCAGTGACATTTGCATGAGTAAATGTGATTGATCTCTGCCTTGGGAAACTGGCTACAAAGTATTTCATGCGGTTGATAAATATGTTTTTCTTAAAGGGATTAAAGAACGTGACCTAGAACGTTGCTACTCAAAAACGCAGTTTGCAATGGAATAGCCTGGCCTTCACTAGTCACTTACGGGGGAATGTAGTCTTGGGAGCCACCAAGCACTGAGCCACGGTTTCTACTTTAACCCATCCATCACCCATGGCTCATGTGACTCAAGACACACTGGAGCTTCAAAACCAAGGCCATAACACATGAGTCCTGACAATTTAGCTCTTGTTTATAATTCTAGGCAGGCTTTTCTGTTGAATGTTTTGAACCCCGAAGCTTACATTTTGAATACATATTATAAACATCATTCAACAAACACTATAAACTCCCTGTGAATCCCAAATCCTGTTAAACTATGTATAACAGCAGTGTTTTCTTGTTACTCCCAGCATACTCAAAGTAAGCATGCCGACCCTGGCATCCTACAAACTCTGCAGCCACCGTGCCTTTATCTTTTGATTTCCCCACCTCAACTTACTTTAGTTTGATCGTCTGCTTTAAACACGTAGCAGAGGCTCTGCCTGTTGGCAGCATCCTCCTTAACGAGACAAGCAAAGTAACTCGGGTCGTGGCTGTTGTGAATCAGTTTGTGAACACGCTGAGGCTTGCACTCGAAGATGCTGGAACAGATCAGCGGGTCCCATTGTTGACTTTTCCTCAGGTCAGGTTCACATCTCAGTCCTGAGGGCGAAACCCAAAGCCGGACTTGCTTGATTCCAGGCTCCTTTTTGGAGCCCTGGCCACTGAGTCTTAGTACCTCAGCCACCACCCACGGCAGCATGGGCAGAGTGGTGAGAGAATGCACAGGTAAGGCGCCCACCAGCTGCAAGCCGAAGTCCACCGAGAGCTCATGAGGGAGTGGATGCTTCCTCGCTGTGAATGTGATTGCGTCCATCCTGGGAAAATTCTGGAGAGCCAGGAAACGGTGCTACTATTTTCCTAGTTTAGATGGAATAGTCTATTTCACATGCTTTTGAAGGCAGAATCCTGGGGGAGAAAAACAGGATTTAATCAAGTCACAGCAATAGCTACTTGCAGAGTTATTACCCCAGAATTTTTTAACAGTCTGATACTTAAATGTAAATGGATAGTTGTTCAAATAAACTCTATCTAGAAAGAGATTTCCTGAAATTTTATTACACATAAAGCCTAGAAATGGTGTAACTGTCACATTCATTATGGGACACAAAGACCCTACTGGGAATCTGTTGGAGAATGAGTCTCACAGTGTAAGAAAAAACCAGAGCAGGAGCGCGGGGGAGGGGCTGGAGAGAGATGGCTGAGGTTAAGAATATTTGTTATTCTTGCAGGGAACCTGAGCTCAGTTCCCAGCACCCACATGTTGGTTCACAGCCACCTGTAACTCCAGCTCCAGGGAAGCTGATACCTTTTTGTACTTTGGTGGGCACTAAGCACACAGTTGGTGCACAAACATACATGCAAGCAAAACACTCACACATAAAAGTGTGAATGCATGCACACAAGTGCTCATGTGGGTGAATGTACACACACACACACACACACACACACACAATATTGTGAGGGAAAAAAAATCAACCCATTCCTCTTCACAGTTTACTGAACCCAGCAGACTTTAAACAGTTGACCTGGTCACATATGATACCATCAAATTTACTTTTTAAACAAAAACCTAGGCTCTCACTCATTCTAGGCTATAGCCCCCAGGGAATAGTCAAGTATTATTTAACTTAATTTAACTTTTTGAAGAAGAGCTATAGGTTTTTGTTTTGTTTTTATTTGTTCTTTTGTGTTTGGCATCAATGTTTTATCTGCATGTATGTATGTGTAGCATGTTGAATGCCTGGTGCCCATGGAGGCCAGAAGAGAGCTCTGGATCCTCTGAAACTGGAGGTACAGGTGAGTGTAAGCCTCCATGTGGGTGCTTGTGCAACCAAACAGATCCTCTGTAAGACAGTCAGTGCTATTAACTGCTGAGCCATCTCTCCAGCCCCAAGAGTTAGAGTTCATTAAGACATTTTAATATAAATTTAAGCACTGGCACTAGGAGGAAAAAAAAAGGTGGGAAAAATGAAGACATTCCTCAGGATATGGACATGGGCTTTGCAGAGAATAGTTTCCCCTGCTTAAAATTCAAAGGGGCCTCCCTGAGTCTGTCTAGGGATGCAGACTCACAGTTTCTCACTCTGTTAACATATATTGCTGCTTATCATGTTCAAAACACTATCGTAAAGATTAGTTTAATTCACAAACTGTAAGCCCTAGCTCTAACCTTGTGACACTCTACCAACAGATGCCAGCTAGCTAGCTGCTAGTTAACCATAGAGGTTTGGAGGTCTATACAGACAGACAGGAAGTGGTAGGCTGGGTGGAGAGAGGAATATAAGGCGGGTGGAAACAGGAGCTCGGTGTCTTTACAGTCTGAGAATTTCATAGAGGTAAGAACTCTAGTGTCTGGCTGCTCTGCTTCTCTGGCCTTTCAGCTTTCACCCCCTAATATCTGACTCTGGGTTTTTATTATTAAGACCTATTAGAACTTGTGCTACACATCCATTTAGGCAGAGTCTCTCAATCAAGCCCAGAGCTTCCTGGTATAGTTTCCATAGCCAGCTTGCTCTGAGGATCTCCTGTCTCTACCTTCCCAGGCTGTAGTTACAGGCAGACTGCCATGCCCAGCTGGCATGTCTGAGGGCTCTGGTGACCGTAATTCTTGTGCTCACACTATCATGGCTTCCCTGACCTATCTCCCTAGACTTTGTTCACATCCCTTCTTGAGACTCTTCTGGCTCCTGTCTTACCTGCTTGGTGCTTGTTTTCAGGTTATTTGAAGCCACCACCCCCCCACACACACCAGTATCTTTTGGGGCCAACAAACACAGTCAAATACCCATATTACTGTGAACGTGACACACTCTACATGCATTGTCTAGAGGTGACTCTTATGAACCAGGTGACATGGAAGAGTTTGCATCTGGCCCTGAAGCCCCATGCTCTTGACTGGTACCTCCCAAAATGAGCTGATCGCATACACTATATTAATTCCCAAGTATTTTTCTCCCAGACAATCTCCTCTCTGAGTCCCAGACAAGCCATTCATACTGTCTATATTGTCTCAGCTGACAAAGCTCCTCAGCCTGCACTTAGTTGTCTTATAACTAATTCAGTCCCATCTCCCTCCTCCCCCAGAACCTTCTCCTCCTGCATCCCAGGAAGCAGCACCATGTTATGTCATTCAATGCTTTCCACTCCTACAGCAGATACCCGAGACAATCGACTTAGAAAGAGGAACTCTTTGATTGGGCTTCTTACTGCACTCCTTCGGACTGTGATGGGTTGTGTTGTCGCTTTTAGGTGAGAAAGGACACTGTGACAGGAAGGTGTGGCACACTTAATTCACACAAACAAAAGAGAGGAGGAGGAAGGGCCTGGGGTCCCACCATCTCCTTCAAGGGCACAGTCTTAAGCAACTTGGAGACTTCCCACAAGACCTAACTCTTAACGGTTCCATGTTCTCCGTAGTGACTTCCCGAAGACCACACTTTTACCTCGTGGACCTTCTGGAAGCCTCCTGGATGCACATGACAGCACTGGCCAAATTGCTGGGATTCCTCCCTCATCTCATCAGCTCTGACTCTACCATATAAATATACCTGACCTTTCCATCCCTTAGAGACCTCTTCTGCTATCTATCAGTCATCACAGGCCACGAACTCTACACTGAACATTCTCTTGGAATCCTCAGCCCTACATCGCCCCCCAACATCCTCTTCCACAACGCTCTGTGGCTTTTAAGATAGAGAACCAGTCACAGTCCCCATACCAGATGTGGTTTCTGCTGTCCTGGTACCACAGCGCATGCAATCCCACTCCCCTCTTTGGAACATCAGACTGATCACTGGCTGTAAAGGGACCAGACGGTTTTCCTTACTTGAAGCTGACATGCTGAGAGACGAAACCAGATTCCTGCACAGAAGAAGGTAAAGGACCAACAGCAGTGACCAGAGTTAGCGTTGGTGCCAATTTCCCTCCTTTCAAGGACAAGATGAGACCTGTCATGATGCATTATAGTAGAAGAAACAAGGCTTAGGGAAGCTGACAGCATTGTGGGGAGGAATACATCCACCTGGCACCAGAGGATGTCACTATTTCAATCTGCCATGGATGTTTACAGCAGAAACATGATGGAAAGTGTAGCTCAGAACAAAGGCATCTGGTAACCCTGCTCGTGAGATGTGTAGAAACACTAGAGACCCAAAGAGAAGAATCATCTCTCAACCAGCCCCATGCTCATCCCTCCAGGCTAGCCTAAATATTGACATGGCCCCTTCCTAGGGAAGTCAGAGCCATCAGTGGCATGCCTTTTCCATTACTGCAGTGAGCTCCATGGTCACATTTATTTTAAGAGTCTCAATAGGCATCCTTCAACAGATTGCAAGCTTTATAAACTATTAAGGTTTGGGGTTAGAAAAATCACTATTTGAATCTTAAACCTTTTTAAGACAGAAATGAAGTCTGTCCTTTATTCTGTTTTCCATAAATGTATATGTACATATTTGGAAATGTATACACACACACACACACACACACACACACACACACACATATATATATATATATTCTAAAAGTATACTTTTATAATTTGAACATAGTTTGGAGCTATTTTTAAGAACTTCTTTTTTTATTATTTTTAACTATGTGCATTGTGTGGGTATGTGCACATGAATGCACAGACCCTAGGAGGCCAGAGGCATCAGATCTCTCTAGAGCTGGAGTTACAGGCTGTTGTGAGTCACTCAATGTGGATGCTGGGAACTGAACTCTAGTATTCTTTAAAGAATCGTAAGCCCTCTTAACTGGGATACCTCTCAGCCCTAGGGCTATGTTTTATGTTAATTTTTCTTTTTCTTTTGTTCATCTGTTTATTGTTTCTTATTAATTAAATTTATTAATTTGTTTTACATACTGACAACAGTTTACCCTCCCTCCTCTCCTCTCTTTCCCTCCTCCCCTATCCCCTCATCCCCACCCCCAATCCACTCCTCCTATGTTTTTGTTCAGAAAGGGGCAGAACTCTCTTGGGTGTCATCAAAGCATGGCATATCAAGTTGAGGTAGGGCTAAGCTCCTCCCCTTATATTAAGGCTGGGCAAGGTAACCCCATGAGGAATCCAGCCAAAGTGTTAGGGGCAAGCCCTACTCCCACCACCAGGAATCCCACAAGCAGGTCAAGCCACACAACTTTCACACTGATATAGAGGGCCTAGGTCTGTCCCGTGCAGGCTCCCTAGCTCCCGTGGAGCTCCAGAGTCCTATGAACCCAGGTCAGTTGTCTCTGTGGGTTCCCTTGTAATGACCTTGACTGTCTGGCTCATGTAATCCTTCCTCCCTCTCTTCAACAGGGATCCCCAAGCTCAGCTCAGTGCTTGGCTTTGGGTCTCTGCATCTGTTTATATCAGTTACTGGATGAAGGTCCTCTGATGCTTACTGGGGTAGTTACCATTCTGATTACAAGAGATGATCAGTTCAGGGTATCTGTCCACTATAGTATTGATTGTTTTGTTTGTTTGTTTGTTTGTTTTTGAGACAAGGTTTCTCTGTGTGGCCACACAGGCCTTGAACTCACAGAGATCCACTAGGATGCACCACCTTGCCTGGCCTTTCTTTACATTTTAAATATTGAAACATTCAACAATAAAGCAATACGTTATTACCTTTTAAGATGTATTTATTATGTATACAGTGTTCTACCTGCATGTGTGCCTGTGCTCCAGAAGAAGGAACCAGATCTCATTATAGATGGTTGTGAGCCACCATGTGGTTGCTGGGATTCGAACTCAGGACCTCTAGAAAAGCAGAAAGTGCTCTTAACCTCTGAGCCATCTCTCTAGACCCCCAAGCAATACATCATTTGGTTCCTGAATATATTTTATGAAAGTAGGAGTCTTCGTCTTCCTCTACTGAACAGCCACATCCTCTAGTACACAGCCATTCATGGTAACATGAAGCCTT